GGTTAAAGTAAGTACGTACCCACCTACGGTCGTTAATTACTAAACGAAGTTAGTAGGGACGAAACGAACCAAACCTACCCCTACCCACGGACGATTCGTCCTCTCTCTCTCTCTCTCTCTCTCTCTCTCTCTCTCGAATTTTTCACTGGCAGCCTAGGCATGAGCCTAGGCACCAGCATTTTGACATGGCCCTCATCCCCCCCGACTAGGCCTGGCGATGTGCCCAAGGCCTCTGGCTGCCTAGGCAGCTTGCCTAGGCGCTCAGGCAGGCGAATTTTCCAACCTTGGTTAGGATAACCATAAACACTACTCCCTGGAGGTCATCAGGTTGCTCCCTAGTCAGTTATTAGATATCTCTCATGCGCCATTTCACCTAAGGCTTTGTATCTTTTACAATACATTAATTTCATAAAGCCAGCAAAATTGTAGAGAAAATGATATAAGGGACTTGGAACCATCTCGGAATCAAGCAAGCCTTCATCTAAAAAATTTTCCTAATGCCACAATACTGAGAGAAAAAACTTGAAATTTGATACAAATGCACATTATTCAGATGCAGAGCTCACAGTTCGTTGCAAATGCAACCACATAGATCTTCCTTTAAAAGTTTTAAGTGCGAAGATTTAGAATTCAAGGATCTTTGAAAATAAAATATTCCTTTTTGACAAACGGTACTCAAGAGGAGGAACAAGTCACCTAAAGACTTCTAATACAAGAACTATTGATCATCTTCAAATCAATGTTTAAATCTAAACTTCCAATATTTTGATTTAAATTAAATAATAAAGACATCCTTGACCTCCTAATGCGGAGAATTCAATGTTAGCAGTACAAAAATAAGGTTCGGATATGGCAACCTCAAGTTATATTTCTAACAGAACAAATTCAATGCAGTTGAGAAACAAAGCCATGGCAGCAATATGGTGGGGGGATGCTCGTATGTGTATAGTACAAAAAGACAACTCTGACTGTCAAAGCATCAGTGGAAAAGCAATTTGAGCTCAATATCACAAGGCAATGATGATAACAAACTGCTACCTGCCTCTATCAGGGAGGGGAGCAGCTTATACCTCTAGCTGCCGCAGGGCATCAAGAAGAAGAGATTGTTTCTGTTTAAGAAGCATTAACTGGTTTTGCAACGCCGAGAACTCATTCCTCATAATCTGTTCACTATCCTGGATCGCAGCCTCATTCAATCCTTCCTCTAGCAACCGCTGCCTTAGTTTTTCTGTAGAGACTGTGATGCCATCTACCGGTGCCATTAACTCACTGTTAGACATGCGAGGGAACATATCCTTCACAGCTTGCAAAGCTTCAACCCATGCATTCCGACTTTCCACAGTTTCGGCTTTCAAGTGGAGTCTCTTTGTTCCAGTGAAAATGGAAAATCTTTTGTCATCTGACCTGCTCTCTCGAATGGAGGATACCTGAATGAATGCCATCAAGAAACCACACAATCTTTGGTCAGCAGATGATCATCAAGTGTAGATAATTCACAAATCCAATTCAGCAATGCATATAATTCAGGGAAAATCACAGAGAAAAAAAAATGCAGGAATTTAAACATCAATAACAGATAATGATTTAAAATCTTAAAGGAAGAGGGGTACATTAATAAAAATCCCACGCATGATAATAAGTTGTCCTTATTTATTGAGAATGCATCCAGAAACAGTCAGCAACTTAACTAGCAGATATATTATAAAGAAAACAAAAAGAGAATCAAAAGGAAAATAAAATTTTAATTTTCAATAATTAATACCATTAACATGAGGATCTACAAATAATGTATTGTAAGAGGAAGAAAATGCACAGCCTTCTTAAACTGATAAAACGGGAATTGCTTAGATAATTTAAGCCTGCAACAGAATGTCCAGCACAGAAAAATGTGAGGATAACAAGTTTCTCCCAAGGATATGTAATGACATAAGAGACTGATCTCATGGTCGGTCACCAGAGAATATCCAGCAATCTAATGTTAAGGGACACAGAACGATCCATCTCATCATGCTTAGACCGTGTATTTTGAACAAATGCACAACTATCCTTATGATGGCGCATCTGGCAATAAGAAGGCAATGCCAACATGATGGCGAGTCTGAAATGTAGACCAATCCAGGTAGTAACTGGTAATGGCTCACCGATTGGATTCACAAGCATGGATCACCATGAACAATGACAGCAAGACAGCAACTAGAACTTCCATTGCAGTTCTTCAAAATAATTGTATTGTCTCTGATTTAATCGTATTCCATGTAATAGTATCGATATGGTTAATTTGTGCATTATATAACATTGAATTTTAAAATTACAATAGAAATTTGAGATCACAGGCTAATTTATAGAAAATGAAAGTATATATGCAACACTTCGCTTTAATTTAGCCTGATGGTATTATATATAGATACCAAAAAGAGATTCTTACATAACTTTCATAGTGGATAGATAATTCATCGAACAAAAGATATGAACTATGAATACTGCATAGGCAGCATGACTCATGAAAATTTTGATATATCATAAAATATAACTTCTTTTTAATAGGAAACCAAGCATCACGGCCTAGTGGTTTGTCCTTACTGTGTGCATATGCTCACAACTAAAGATGATATTAAATAATAGACGCAGAATTTTTTAGCCATGTTTGTGTAACTTTTTCTTCAATAATTAGGGTTTAATGATCACTGACACTCTTTTATTAAATTTTTAAAATTAAATAAGTGTCACCCACTGACTTAAAACACTCAGAACTTTGACCCAGTAATTGATCTGCAAAGTAGTTTGGGTACGTGTGGACACATCTATAGCAAAGCCTACTTGCAGGACAGTCTTCGCCTCATATTTCAATTACTCTAAAAGGGTAGTCAGGGCGGGCAAAAGAAATTGGTTAATATCACCAAAAATCCAAGTCATTTTATCCAACATATAAGAAAGAAAAAGAATCCAAGCCATGAGAATGATTTATCCAAAAAATCACTAAATTATATTCCAATTTGACATTTACCCGTCCACTGAATACAATTGTAAGTCGTTTGCCAGATCCAGTTCTCAAAACAAGAAACAGAAAAAGACATTGATCACCACATCTGATTATTCCAGATATGCAAATTGGATTAAGAATAAAGGATTCTAAGAAATTGAATTACAGAGAAAGAGAGGGAGAACAAAATAGATCCGGAAGAACATTGTACTAATTTTTCAATAGCCACACTCAATTCACCAAAAATGCAAATAAGAAATCATATAACAAAGAAAGAAGAACAATTTGATCCCAAAATCGATTATCCGCAATTACAAAACTGATCACCGCGATGGCTTCTCCAAGGAACAAAAAACAAAAGAAGTTGAAGATTAAGAAGAAGATGACTTTCCAAACATAGAGAGAGACCAATAAAAGAATGGATTGCTGGAACCAAACACACAATAAAAGGAGAAGCTGAAGTTAAGAAACAACACGCAGTCCAAAAATAGAGTGGGGGGAGGAGGGGAGCGAATGAAAACAAGAGAAGGCCGCAATTATTACCTTGAGATGGACCTCCCCAAAAGGCTTCCTCCTCATATGACAGTCCGAACCCCCACTCTGCCAATGATGATGATGGTGGTGGTGGTGATGGCTTCCATTCTTTTGCCTGCTAATTCTCCTCATTGACTCCTCCCCTATAACCTTGGACCCCTTCTCAGTCCTCGAGCTCACCTCGATCTTATCAGGCCCATGGATCTTATAATAGGAGAGAACCCCATCCTGCAAAACGAACCACCTTGGCCTCCATCCTTTGCCATAATTCACCCACTTCAAGAGAATCCCCGAAATCCCATTCCCTACTATCTCATTGAGCTTTACACCTCCTCCTCCATTAACGTCAACAGACGAGCTCGAGACACAGTGTTGAAGCTCCCGGCTCATGGCCGGAAAATCAATTGGCGGCGTCAAATTCCGGCCAACTGGTACACCAGAAGATACGCAGCAAAATGGACGCATAGGCCGGAATCACAACATTCCGGCCGCCGGTAGACGAACAGGAACCGCACTTTCCGACCAAAAAGGCTGAGTTTCCGGCCAAAATGGCTCAGATTACGACCAACAAGGGTGAGATTCTGGCCAAAACGGGTCGAAATTCCGGCCAAAGGAGATGATATTCCGGTTAAGAGACAGAGAAATCTGATAATTACAGTCGACGAGAAAATGGGATCTGAGAATTCCGGGAGTTTATGCACCGGAAATTCCTCCTGAAATTAGGTGGATCGCCGTGAAATTAGAGAAAGGACGGTGGCCGTGAAATTTGTTAAGGAAGGTGGTGAGCGGGAGTTGGCGGTTTTATACGCGTGTTTTCATCGCGAAAAGTCCGCCTCAACACGAAACCGACAAATTCGCCGTGAAACTGAATATTTCGGCTCGTTCGACGGGAAATGGGCTTTGCCGGCGGTAAAATTCCAGAATTGCCCTAAAATGTAGTATTAATCCCTGAGATGCCCTGAGATACGGCAAATGGCAAATATAGCCGCGGCCGTTTTGAATTGAGGGCTTTGGGGCTTCTTCTATACGAATGTTGACAAAAAAATCTCTTTTTAAATACATCATTTTGTAGTTCAAAAAATATTTCACAGCATGGTCTATTAAGAACTAGTAATGAATAATGCGCAGATGAACTTTGAAGATGAAAAATGAAAAATATACATAGTAAGATGATTTACTTTTAATATAAGGATGTTGCAATTATTATTAATCATTAGATGTGAAATCAGATGGTTGGGGTTGTGTTATTAGCTGAGCACTTGTGACGTTCTTCAATATATTAGATTTTTACATTTGATGGCTAATAATTAGATTTCACATCTGATGATCAATAGTGATTGTGACCTCTTTATACTAAAAGTAAATGGTCTTATAACATAAAAAAAACAAAATAGTATTATAATATCCGATCAAAAAAAAAAAAAGAATAGTTCTTATAATGTTGAATCCCAATTAATATACGCATCCCCAATTTGTACATTTCCAATTCAAAACGAAATTTTGTAGCTTAAAAATAGTGAAGACATGCTCTGGGAGTAATTAAAAGAAATAGTGATGACTAGTCTAAAAATAAAGATTAAAATAACATATATGCTTAAAATTCAAAATATATGCTCTTTTTTTTTTTTTATGATTCATGATCATTTTGATGAACTTATTAACAAGTAAAATTTCAAGCTCAGAATCCATCTCTATCCCTATTTTGTGTGTGTGTGGTGGGGGAATGTTTTGTGGTGGTAGATCACTTAGTATAATGTTTTATGCTTAATTAAGATTTCGATTATTTCTAAATGAAAAACGATAGTTTCTAAATATAGCTAAATTTTTAACGAAATTCAACTAAAAATTCAAAATTCTACCTTTTTTTTTTTTTTATATGAGATAACATGGGAAATCTATTAATTAACAGAATACTATTTCGAAAGATTCGAGGAACAAACTATGGTAATATGCTTTATCTAATCTATCTAAAAATTAAATGATGAAGTTTTTATAAGGCCTAGGTTCTATGAAAACAAAGTAAAGCCTCACCTCAAATCCTTATACACTCAGCAATGAAAATCTTCATTATAGCTCTAAAATTAATTTTCAACACTAACAATAAATATTTGAAACTAAAAAAATAGTACAACTCTTGTGGATCTATGAACACTTATTTTTAGGGTAAAATGAAGATAATTTACTATAATATATATTATATTTAGGGCTTAAATTCCTTCTTTTTTTTCACAATTAAAACCCAGATGATCAAATGATCGATGTAAAAACTTTGTAATACTGGAATTTTAATTTTTGATGAGTTACGAGGTGAGACTTTACTTATTTTAATAGAGTTGTAGCCCTTTCAACCCATTTTTCAAAGGGCGTGGTTTCTATAAGGTTGCAACCTTAAACAATCAAATAAAAGCGTAACTCCAAATTCTATCATAACATATAATTTTAGTGTAAATTTTTTTTAATATTATCTAAAAATTTATTTTTACATCTAATTATAAAATTTTAAAATTTTAAATATTATTAAAATCAAATAGATCTATAAACTTATGAAAATCTTGAAAATGGATTATCTAAATAATGCTCAACATGGTAAGACACTATATTTTTAAAAGCCCACTGGCACTCCCTATGGACAGCTGGGAAGAGGACCGTGCTGGGATGTTCCTCGTCCACCACGTGGCGAAACAGTAGTGGTCAAGGTGGGGGTTGATTCTTCGACAGAAATTAAAAGACCACGAGGTTTGGAAAGTAGAATACCCCAATCTTTGTCCTATATTCCAAACATAAGGCAGCTCATGTTATTAATAAATATGAGAAAGCGCCTCAACCCAATAAACAAACTCGGAATCGGGGGAGGGATTGGATCGGTCGTCGAATGTTGGATCTAGATCCGTGATGCCATTGTTTATTCCAGTGTCAAACCAAGGCTGCTGATCGTCTCTGATTTGGAATGGTTCAATTAGATAGGATTCAATAAATAAATAAATGGATAAATAAAATTCAGATTTATAGGGTGGGATATTAGGAGCACCTAAAAAAATAACTAAATAAGCTTTTTAAAAATATATAACAAAAGAGGGATTTTAGGGGGGACGACTTAGGTAATCTAAAACAATATGAAATAAGATTAAAAAAGGGAAACGATATGAAAAATGGAGGTTTTATGGGGAAGATTGAGCCAAGATTGATATCTTTTTTGAACTGAATTGGTCTTGACTGATTCTCACTCTGGATCGGTAATTCTCGATCCAAATTGTGGGGCTTTTACTATTGTTTATTCCAGTGTTTCAAACCAAGGCTGGTGATCAGTGCCTGGTCTCTTATTTGGATTGGTTCAAATAGATAGGGATTAAGGATTCAATAAAAAAATAAAGAAAATTAAGATTTATATGGTGGGAGCACCTAAGATAACAAGTAAATAAACGTTTTTAAAAAATGACAAAAGGGGGTTTTAGGGGGAGGACTCAAGTAATTTAAGAAAATATTAAATAAACTTAAAAAGAGAAACAATATGAAAAATGGAGGTTTTATAGAGAAGACTGAGCCGAGATCGATATCTTTTTAGAACTGAATTGGTCTCGACTGATTCCTGCTTTGGTTCGATAATTCTCGATCTGAATCATGGGGTTTTTACTATCGTTTATTCCAGTGTTTCAAACCAAGGCTAGTGATCAGTGTCTAATCTCTGATTTGGATTGGTTCAAATAGATAGGCATCAAGGATTCAATAAATAAATAAATAAAATTAATATTTATAAGGTGGGATATTAGGGGTACTAATAAAATAATTAAATAAGTTTTTTAAAAAAAAAATGACGAAAGGGGGTTTTAGGGAAAGGACTCAGGTAATCTAAACAAATATTAAATAAGCTTAAAAAATATGAAACAAAATGAAAAATAGTGGTTTTATAGGGAAGACTGAGCCGGGATCGATATCTTTTTGGAACTAAATTGGCCCCGACTGATTCCCGCTCTGGATCGGTAATTCTCGATCCAAATCGTGGGGTTTTAAAACATGGTTGACTCTTTAAATGGGAGATTTTTATTCTTCCTCTACTGTATGTAAGTTATATATTTCTCCCTATCCAACACCGATCTTAATAGATGCCCGGGATGGACCCAATTACAATCTCATACCTCTACACTGTTTTATGTTAAAAATTTTCTATAAAATATTTTGATACCAAATTTTGGGCATCCACTCCTCTCTTGAACTTGCACATTCAAATAATAATAATAATAATAACCTGATAAAATAAAATGACCTACTGAAAGTTTGAAGGATATTCTAGTTATCCTAAAAGTTCAAGCGGCTTTGTAGTAATCACGAATGTTTCAGAGGTATTATACCTATTTTATTTTATTAAGAATATTTTTTAATAATTTTTAAGTACAGCCCCATTGAAACGATGTCACATACAAAAGTTTGTATTCATGTGATTTGTAGAAAAATAAATAAAAATAAAATACTATGTGGTGTTAGATCTAGATCAAATAAAATAAATAAAAATAAAATACTATGTGGTGTTAGATCTAGATCAAATAATCAGTGGCTCACTTGATCCAAATTGGACGCCTAGATGGGAGGAAGTATATAATTTAAATATAGTAGCAAAAATATAGAAATCTTTCCCATTCTTTAAAGTCAAAAAAATAAATTGTTTTACATTATATAACAGGTGTAGCTTGTATAGAGCCTAGGATCTAAACAATCAAATTAGAGCCTACCTTCAAATAGTATCTAGAAATGTGGTTTCATTATTGGAAATCTTTGTGATAGCCTTAAAATATATTTTCATATTTATTTATAAAATTTAAAGCTTAAAAAATACTGTAGATCATAGATTTATGAAAACTTGAAAATTGATGGTCCAAAATAGTGTTACAAAATACACTATTTCCAAAACTTGAAATCTATTTTTTTCTCATGTCCATGTATCTTAATGTTGAGATGGTCAATTTGAAGATATTTGGGCATCAAGACAATCTCTTCAAGTGAAATTTTTGATGGAGGCTCAAAGTTGATTGTTTAAAGCCTCAGCTCTTATAAACTTTTCCCTTTTATAAAATACTAAAAACAATATGTAAAAAATGTGTGAAAAATGTGAATCGCCAATTCTACTAAAAACAATTTTGACCGAGTCCCTCACGTAATGACAATTCCCCAAGAGTCGCACATATTCTCAAATCTACGATTTCTGAAGCTGTAAACTAAACAAAATAGAACCACGTCTTCGTCGGATCACTTCCAGCGCGCAATAGACGGTGATGCCCTTGTGAAGCCGTTCGTGAATAGGGCCCTTTCACTCTTGTAGCTTCAAAGGAAGGTTAATGAGCTAATCACATTTAAAAGTTTTCTATGTAGAGTGGATTTTGGGTCCATTAAATTTTTATTAAAAAAGTTGACTCGATATTCTTAGACATAAAATAGGGGCTTAAGTCTTACTTACCACTTTTGGTGTGCCTGAAAGTTTTGTCAAAGATCAAGGGAAATTAATACACCCTTTACTTTGTCAAAAGATTAAGAAAAAGCAATATAAGATCAAGGGAAATTAATATGAGAATATAACCCGTATATCACTCCCTTAAGAAAAATCCTACGTGGTAACGGTGTTTTTAGAATTCAACGCTCTCCAATGTCCAAACATGAAAAAAATAAAAATGAAAAAAAATCATTTATATATATGCTATATAAGTGCTTGAAAGAAAATGTGTCGGTAGACACCGTCCAATTTATATATTTTGAGATTTACTTCTTTTACACTGTATTTTAAAATCTGGT